TAATTTCAAGAAAATAACGAAGGCATTTAAGAACAAGCCTTTATTCATCGAATGTCACGTGTTTGCTACCACCTCCATTCAGTTCACATGTGAACTTATTTTAATGTACTTTGATCTAATTGTTAATTCGTTAGATATTTTCTAATCGCGAAATGTTATTTATTATTTCATCTACGATCAAATTCATATTCCATTAGAAATATGATATTACAAGAATTGTAACTATTAACGGTAAGATTATATATTTGTAGACTAGGTGATATTTCGCCTTGTAACAGGTTAGATTTCGGCGAATGATTGAAAATGTATGGTTCATTTCTTCATTAGTAAATCCTGTTTTCTATAAATATAAACGTTCGAATAATAAATAAATTGCACTTGTTACTCTATCAGCGCAAAAAAGATGTGCGTTGTTGCTCCTAGATTGAGATATAAAGACGTAGAAAATTCTGTTGCAATCATTTTATACGAAATATACACATCAAATTGTTAGAATTTATTTATGTCGTGGTTGATATAACTGACATTTTAAGCAACTTAGTCAATATAAAAATGCAATACTTTGTTGTGTTGTTTATTTATAACGTGTATTAAAAGAATTGATAGAATTTGTTTCATTGCATATTTTGCAAAACATGTAAATTGTATTGTGTACTTGTATTATTACATATATAAAAATGATGTCATATGGTAATAAATTGTTTTAGAAGTTTTGGACTAAAGGAGGCATTGAAAGTTACATCTCATTTATATCACAACAAAGGACACTTCAATGACTAAAGATAAAAAGGTTTTTTTATCTTGTTATAAATGTTTAATAGTGCTTATTATGTGTGATAGATTTCATATAAATTAATAATGCATACACATGTCATATAAATGATGGAGAATTTAGAATAGGAACGTTCATCTCATTTGAACCACATAAGTTTTCAAGTAAAATGTGTAGTATTTTGATGGCTTAATGTTTTATACATATATATGTGTTTTGTATTGTTTTTAATATATTAAAATTTGTTTGTTCCATATCAGTTATAATTTTTTTTTCCTGTTTGTTTAATTACTTATAGTCAAATAAAAAACCTCAAATATTACAATATTGTTTTATATATTTGTTGTTTTACATATGCCCATTTAGTATCCTACGAGTATATAATATGGTATATAAAACATATATTTAATCTTGTAAATAGGAATTGTCATTAGAAGATATTTAATTAGTGCTTTTTTTTTATGATTTCAGTTGGTCCTGCATGCTGTGCACTGCATCATCGTCCTGCCCAAAATATTGCACTGTATTTTATCTTACTTTGCCAAACACTACATATATAATAAACTAAATAAGAAATTATTATGGCTGCCTACATCAATCGTACAATGTCAATGATTGGAGGAGACAGCCATCTAAGATCAGCAGATATACGAACTGATAGTTCTCCTCTTCAGATTTTTGTTAAAGCCAAGAAAAAGATCAATGACATATTTGTGGAGATAGAAGATTATGTACATGATACTGTAGGATTTATGATATGTAAGTAATTTATTTAAAGTGTACAATATGGAAGTCAATTGGTGGCATTATTTTTGTAGCATTGCGAACTGAGAGAAATATTGTTACTGCTGAAGAAGCACAAAGAATTGAGAGTTATACTGATAAAGTTCATGCAATTAGAGATGTACTTAAAAGGGATCACATGAAAGTTGCATTTTTTGGAAGGTATATAGTTGGAATTGTATTTAATTAATATTAGTAATATTAAAACTATATTTCATATAAATGTTACAGGACTAGTAATGGAAAGAGTACAGTCATTAATGCAATGTTACGTGATAAAATTTTGCCAAGTGGAATAGGACACACAACAAACTGTTTTTTACAAGTTGAAGGTTCAGATAATGGTGAATCTTACTTGATTACTGAAGGATCTACCGAAAAACAGCCTGTCCAATCAGTTGGTCAATTAGGTCATGCTCTCTGTAAAGAGAAATTAAGCGAAAGCCATTTAGTAAGAATATTTTGGCCCAAGGACAAGTGTTTACTATTAAGAGATGATGTAGTATTTGTTGACAGCCCTGGAGTAGATGTGACACCCAATTTGGACGAATGGATCGATAAACACTGCTTGGATGCAGATGTTTTTGTATTGGTGGCTAATGCTGAGTCTACTTTAATGGTTACTGTGAGTATCCATGCTATATCGTGAGTTAGAAGCAACAGTCATACATATATGTAATATTGTTATAATTACAGGAAAAGAATTTCTTCCACAAAGTGTCTACTAAATTATCTAAACCAAATATCTTTATTCTCAATAATAGATGGGATGCATCTGCTTCAGAACCAGAATTCTTTGAACAGGTATGTGTTATATAAAGTTGAACATATAAACACTATGTAAATATAAGCTTGTTGGACATTTGATTAGTAGCATTACAAATGAAGTGTTAGAAAAACATTCCCAAAAGTATCTTCTTAAAAATGAATCAGGTTTCGTGCATAAAAGATTTTGTATATTTTTTTTATTAAAGCTGGTACTACATATTAAGGTTGTTGTCTCAGAATTTCATTACATATAAGCAGTTTAATTTATTATACATTAGTGTATTCAGAGATAAGTGTGTGAAACACAAATTCATTGATAATTAGCTGTATGCAGTGGCAGCTTTATTTAAATAATTCACATAATACCCCATTTATCTCATAGCTGGTCAAAGAGCAAAAAGAAGTAAGTAAATCCTATTTTGTAAATTTTTATATTTATTTCTTAATTGTACGTTTCTTTTTTTTCTATATGTACACTGTTTTGATTACAAATAAAATCAGTAATGCATTATGCAATGAAGATGTGCACAAACTTTTATGGCATGGAAAAATTCATTAAACTTCAATTACATAAAATTTTCTTTTTATGGTGCAATATGTTACATTACTTTTCTGCTTATTATGACAGAAATCTTAATATGTGCTTCTTGCTTTTTAAGTTGTTTTATAAGCTATTATAACTTATGTTTATTTACATTTTCCGTTTGTGTAGGTAAGGGCACAGCATCAAGAACGGGCAGTCGATTTCTTAGCGAAAGAATTGAAAGTTTATAGCCCTAAAGATGCAGAAGAAAGAGTTTTCTTCATTTCAGCGAAGGAAACTCTTCAAGCTCGTATGCAAGAACAACGTGGCCAACCTGCTCACAGTAAGCTATTTAGATTAAATAAACTTAATCTTTTGTTATTAATTTTTTACATGTATGAAATTTTATTATAGATGGTGCACTAGCAGAAGGATTCCAAAATCGCTATTTCGAGTTTCAAGATTTCGAACGAAAATTTGAAGAATGTATCTCAAAGTCTGCTGTGAAGACGAAATTTGAGCAACATTCTCAACGTGGAAAACATATCGCTACGTAAGTAGTTCGTCACTTATTCATCATTTTGAAAACATTTATTTTCCAATGTAGAAAATAAAAAATATTCTTCTCAGAGAGATTCGGCAAACGTTGGATGAAATACTGGAAAGAACACAAAGGATGAAGGGCGAGCAGATACAAATTAAAAAGGACGTTCATGAGAAATTGAATTACACAGAACAGCAATTAATGTTATTGACTCAGGAGATGAAGGATAAAATTCATCACATGGTGGAGGATGTAGAACAGAGAGTGTCTAAGGCTCTGAGTGAGGAAATTCGTAGATTAGCTGTACTCATCGATGAATTCAGCGTTCCGTTCCATACCGACCCATTAGTTCTAAATGTATATAAGCGAGAACTTCATACACACGTAGAAAATGGCTTAGGTACTATCGTTGAAATTATACTATTAAATTATTTAGAGCAACGAGAAATTTAATTTTATGATTATATAGGTTCAAATTTAAGAGCAAGACTCAGCACCGCACTGGCATTGAATATAGAAACCTCACAACGAGAAATGACCGAACGAATGGCGAGTTTATTACCAGACAATAAAAAGCATATGTCGTTGAGTGTTTTGCCGAGAAGAGAGCCGTTCGAAATTTTTTACAGATTAAACTGTGACAACTTATGCGCAGATTTTCACGAAGATTTAGAGTTTCGATTTTCTTGGGGAATTACAGCCATAATTAATAGGTTCGCTGGAAGGCAAGGAAGCAGATTGGCCATCGTTAATTATCCACAAGAAGTAAGATAATATACTTTATAGTAATATTACCTAACTTAATCTAATTTGTATATTTGTAGATACCACCTGCAATTATGTCTCCTGCGGAAAGTGTGGACTCTATAAAATTTATGTCAAGTGCTCCAAATTATCAACAGCATAGATCAGACGATTGGTCGTTAGCAACTAAGATCGCAATAGCATCCGTAACATCGCAAGGTACTATGGGAGGGCTGATAGTTGCTGGTTTTGTAAGTACATCACAGAAACCTTTTTCAACATTATATTGAATAATGGTTCTGTAACTTTACTGAAATTTCGTTCTCCTTAGATGTTAAAAACGATTGGTTGGAGACTCATAGCTGTAACCGGTGCTATATACGGTGCTTTGTATCTTTATGAACGACTAACATGGACTAACAAAGCGAAAGAATGTGAATTTAAACGTCAATACGTGGCTCATGCTACAAAAAAATTGAAACTAATTGTAGATCTGACATCCGCGAATTGCAGTCATCAAGTACAACAGTGAGTCTTACTTTTATTTTATTGCATAGCTTTTCTTATTTTTGAAAAAGTTATTGTAACGGTATTTTTGTACAATTGTAGAGAGTTATCTAGCACTTTTGCACGCCTGTGCCATTTAGTAGACGAGACCACGTCCGAAATGGATACCGAACTGAAAAACATCGCAAGTACAATACGAATACTCGAGGAGGCGACTAGTAGCGCTAAAGTTTTACGAAATAAGGCTAATTATTTAACAAACGAGCTCGATCTATTTGACGCAGCATATTTGAAGTCTTTAAATTAAGCATTGAACTATGTTGTTTTTAGAAAATAATTATGAGTTGCTAAGAATCGATGTTGAGAACATCGAATTACCTGTTTTGAGAAATATATTCACGCATGCTGTGATAATTAATACTACTTACAATATTATCGACATACCAATAGATGCATGTCTGGATTTGTTTCTCCAAACAATCACCTGTGCATACAGAGGGAATGTTTTTACAAAAAAAAACTCTAGTCTTATAGCAGGCAACCTCATATTTTCTGTTATTCAGAATTTTTAACAAATTTGTAACTATAACAAGTAAATGATTTTGTTTTAAACAAAAAGAATTAGCACTCGAGTCTTATGTGGATAGATTCCCAATGAATTTTTGAATTTTTTTTTTTAACGCTTTATTTCTAAAATGAATCATGTTAGGGAAATTTATTTTTCAAACACACAAAGTCAGTGTTTTAAACAAAAATATTACGGAAGAAGTGCATAAAGTATTTGATTTATATTTGAATCTATTGCAAGATAAATAAGTCTTATTTATGCAGTAAATGAAATAATACAATTATTAGATTTATTAGATTATATTTATAAAAGAGTTTATGTTACTGTATTAATAAAAGGTTGTTTGTTGAGTAAGAATTATGTTCGTTACTCTCTTGATCGTTCCATGTGTAAACTTAAAAAAGATCTTAGCGTAATGTACTCTAGATATTGAACGGTTAAATAGAACTCGTGACTAATGCGAACATAACCTCTCAAAATATGTGAAATTCTATAAAATGGTTCAAGTATGTAATTATGCGCGAGCGAAATGCAACAACAAAGTAATACGATTGTTTAGTGCTGTAAGCTCTTTATTTGTTATGTCATTTAAATTATTATCAATTCCATGTACATTCATGATTTTAATTTTAATCAGAAGGTATCATTTAACCTAAAAACTCCTACACAAACTGACATGATTGGACCACCTGATCCGATTTCGAATTTAAGACCGATAATATTCGCAAAATTTGACAAGGAGAGCAAACTTGAGAAGATATACAGAGAAGTCAGAGAAGAGACACAAATATGGAATCAAAAGTTCTGGACGAAACACAATATCAGCTTCATAGAGGTTTGACCCCCTTTTTTGTGTTGTCACGAAAAATGTTATAACTTTCAAAATATTAAATGTATCGTAGGAGCGTAAACGATTTCAAGAAAATCTAAAAACACAAGGGAAGACCTCGATTAATACAGATGATATGTCAGTATTTTATAAAGAGTTTTTGGATAAAAATTGGCGAATGCACATGAACTATAATATCGCATGGTATAAAAGAAACGTTAAGTTATTGTTCCTCGAAATTGCAGTAAGAATGTCCAAATTAAAATTTAAATAATTCAATTAAATATATTCAGTATAATATGTTGTACATATTTATGATGTAAATCTATATTTATGCTGTATTTGTAAGCTGTCAGATGTAGAATACAAGTATTATGATATTCAGGATATATTGTTAAATATTTATTCATATATAATTATATTGAATACTTCATAAACATTCACTGTAACATGCTATGTTAACATAAACAATTACGACTAAATTTAATTGTGTACACCTCACTAATATAACTGTTCATTTTTCTAAAACGTTCTCATGTTATTTTCATGTATTTGACTTCTTAAAATTTCTATCTGTTGATCTTTCTTTTTAATAACCAATGCCATATATCTATGCTGCTGTTTTTCACAGATAACCTTTTTCTCATATGCTTTCATAGACTGATGTAATTTCTGATAAGTAAGTCTTGCAACTGCAGTTGTCCTTTGGTTTTCCCATTTTAAATAATCTATTTCAGCTGTCAATGTTCTACACTGTTCACATTGTGATATATATGCTTTATTTAATTTATCGTCAATCTTATCCAGTGATATTTGTAATGATTTACTCTTCTGTTTTTCCTCATGCAATTCATCTTTGAGTTGATTGAATTCAGAGGCAACCTGCTGGACCATCTCCTCACTGTCATGCAATAACTAACAAAAATAGATACTTATCAACGAAAGAATTCATTCAAATTTGAAACATGCACATTACCTTTTTCTGCTTTGAAATTGTTTTATTCTGTTCTTCTACAATTTTTTCTTTTATTCTTATTTCAGAAGAATGATTTTCTTGAAGTGTCTCGAATTCCTCTTTCAGGTAGTGACAAGTTTTTGTCTCTTCACACAGGCAGTATTCCAAATGCTCTACTTTCTCTTTCATATCTTGGAGAATAGAGTTATTTGATTGCAACATACCTTTTACTTCTGATAATTCAGTAATCTATGAATGTAACTCAAATATAAAATCACAATTTAATTTTGTTTTTAGAACTTACTTTTTCAGATAATTCCTTGTCTTTTTCCTGTATATTGAATTGCTGATTATTGCATATGCCAGTGACCTCACATATTCTTCTTTTCTGAATATTAATTACATTTGTAAGCTCTAAATTCATATCCATAAATTCTGCCCTTTCTTTATTTAAAGCTTCTTCTTTTTCCTTTACTGCCTGTTTCATCCTATTTACTTCTTGCTCAACCTCTTCACACCTTGTATGATTGAAGCATGCATTTAATATCTAAAGTAATTCTTATATTACATTTTAAGAAACCAATAATTCACATTGATGTAAAAATTTAAAAAATTACCTTTTAGATTCATCCTCTGATAAAGATTGTAACTTATTTTTTAAATTATCACGTTCTTTCAATAAAACTGTATTTTTGCGTGCAATTTCAGTCACTTGTTCCTGGAAAGATAATTATTCTACAATTAATGAAAATAATTTTTTTTCGGGTACGTACTTGTAGTCTCGCTATTTCGTTCGATAACTCGTTTCTATCTGCTGTAGTTAAATCTGCTTGATCATTTGTTTGTTTCACTAAATTCATTGCAACTTTAGTTTGTTCCTTTGCTGTTTCTAATGCACCTTTTAAACAGGCTGCTCTTTGCTCATTATCTTCTTTTAGACAATTCAAACTGCAAGTCAGAGATTCTAATTCCATTTCAAGTACTTTAGAGCGTTTTTTTTCACTTAAGAGTTCCTATAAATTAGATGTTGTATGAATTTAAATGCATGCAAAATAATTATTTGGTGTAAAACCTTTTGAAGTTTATCAAAGATTTTTTTATCCTTTGCACAAATATCTTCAGCATCCAGGTCAATGTCTCCTATTTCATCTACAATACTTTTATCAATTTCACTTCGAAATTTTTCCTTTCTTACTGCCTCTTGGTGTACATAATTCATGTTTGAATTATTTACACCTAATTTAGTATGAAAAGTATCTTTTGTAGGAATAGGCTGCTCCATTTTCTCATCATATGTATCAATTATTTTATCATCAGTATACACTTTATACAATTGTGAAGTTAAATTCTTTTGAGCAGATTTACTCAGTTCCTCTGATTCTTGTAACTTTTGACTAACTGTTTCATTTTTTATACTACCATTTGCATTCTTTGATACTTGTAGATTATCCCGTGAATCTGTCTGAACTAGTAAAAAATTTTTCTTTAATAACACACTATTTATTGTGCAAGTTAATACTATTTATATACCTTTAGTTAATTGAACACTTTTGTAGACATTTAATTTTTTACGTATTTTACACGTCTTCGTATTGCACGGTATTCTCATTTTATCATAATCATACGATATACATTCGTTGCAGTTAGATCCTTTGTATTGCTCTTTCAAAGAAAAAATACGATGGGCACAATGACAAAATTTATGAAAATTATTGAGCACACAAAGCTACATGAAATGTACATAATTTTTTGTACGTTATTTCGTTTTCTTTTTTGTTTGCTTAATTAAAATACACGCTGTATTGTATTTACATTTTTATACGTTGCACGAGGACACGCGTTATATTCCTCTTCCATTTCTCGCAATTTAGAAATAATTGTGAGTTGCCTGTTCAGGATATCAAGTCGCGTTGAAGTATCGCACATCACAAATTTTATTCAATATCCTAAAAATATTTGTCATAATATTAATTTATGTCTTGTTCGTGGATTCGAAAAGTATTGACATTTAATATGTGATATACTGAAAGACAGGAGTGAAATTGTTGCGCATCTGGCTTGTACAGATTGTCTTCTTTTTTATCTGTACAAATTTTTGCTTCATCGTTGGTCTGTGGTTATAAGCTTTAATTTGAACAATATTACACATCCTTTAATTAGCAAAGAATTTAAACAAAGGTAACAGACACGATGCAAAGTAATAATAGTGGACTATTAACTACTGTCGAAAAAGTAGATATTTTTAAGTACCATTATTTCTGCAATGTATTGTTATTGCTTAAAGTTATTTAAGCAAAAAAAATCGTAGGATATTTTACTTTTCTGAGGAATCAAATTATGGATAGCTTTGTGTACGAGTAATATGTATCATTCGAACATTTTAAAGCACGAAAATAAATATTACACACATTCTTATGGAATATTTACTTAATTTACGCAATGACTTTCATTTAGTGTTATTTTATTTCAAAAATCAAATTTTGGAATTCTATATAATATTTTTACAAAGCCAGAGACTATGGAAGAAATGTTACATTTTAAAACGACAAATTATAGTGTATGTAGCATGACTGATGTTGAATGCTCTGTTTCAATATGTCATGTCGTTTGTAATACGAAAAATGTGTTAAAAGTATGGTATCCTATGTAAGTACAAATTTTTTGTTCTAAATATTTAATGATAATTATATCTTACTTTGAATGGATTTTCACAAACTATATAAATATTATCCACTTGTCCTTTGTTTTACATTCCTTGCAAGAAATCTTAAGAAAAATAACATTTCTAGTAAAAACATATATAAACGATGCTAACCTACAATCTAAATTAACAGTAAAATTTGAAAACTGTAGAGAGCATTTACGAACGAAATTATATCGGGATGATAAAGATGTGTGTGTCTTGGGAAAAACAAAAATGTAAATATATTAAATGCAGACATATATTATACAGACTGAAATTATTTTTAATAGTTATACATTGTTACTACTTAACAATTATCAACTTTATGAGTACTTCAGTAATCAACAATTAAAAAATAATTTAATGCTCAAATATATATCAGATCAAAGTTTTGCATATATGTACATACATGTAGAGAACGACCTAAAATTTTCGAATAATTATAAAAGAAATGATTGTCCATGGATAAAGTGTATATAAAAACGTAATTGTTAGCTCTTCGCCAGAATAAAAAAAATTCTTAGCAAATGGTCTAGCCGAATAAACATGGTAAAAGTGCCCCCAAACCGAATCGATCATGGGGGTTTTAGTGGGTAAGAATCCCACACTACCTTGTCTTTCCACTCCAGGAGAGACGAGGTGTCTTGGAAGATTTCCCCCATGTATAAAAAAACAAAAACAAATGATATGTCCAAATTAAGAGTATTGACTAACTTAATACATATGAAAGCATTTGGAACTGCATATAATGACTATTTAATGAATAAAATATGCCGATTATACGAGTATGCCACTCTGCGTTCGAAAGGTTAGGAGATATCGGTTTATAATTTTTTTAAGTATGAACCACCTCTCAAAAAAATCTGAAAAAATTATACATTAATAACCATAACAGGCTGCTAAAACTGTAGAAAAATGAACATGGTCACACGAAAAACTAAAATAATAATATAAACGAATATTGGTTTTTGATTTTTCTAGGTACCGCCCCCCGCTTCGAAAAACCTGAAAAAATTAAACATTAATATCCAGAACAAGACACTAATACTGTAAAAATATAAACGTGGTCATTTGATAATTTCAATATAAAAACAACATTTATAAACTTTCCGAATTTTTTAAAAATCGATTTTGCAGTGAAGAATTCTGAAAAAATTCACAGACATGTATGCCATTGGGTAGCATATCCATGATTTTTTTCATAAGTTTTCATTGAACAGAACAAGATCAATGGAGCTTAAACTGTAAATTGTGTTGCACCCTGTAACTACCCTAGTAGTAGGGGTACCAGCTTGATACTTGGCAGAAAGGGTTTTTTTCGAGTGATCTATCGAATGATATGCACCAATATCGATTCGGTTTAGGGGCACTTTTACCATGTTTATTCAGCTAGGCCCTTTAAAGAAATCTCAATTTATCCATGCATGTTAAAAGTGCCTGCAAGTTATATTATTTGCTTAAATTCGACTTATAAATAGTTATCTTATGAACGCCGTTTTAAATAAAAGATTGTTATTTGTATGAACGTTTTTATTTGCTACACTATATAAAATTCCTATTATCTCCTGATTTGCTCCAAAACAATTGTCACACTATTTTGGTGTGAATCAAAAATCTTACTGCTAATTTTACGCGCATCCGCAGTTGTGACTGTGAGATCCGTGTAACACGTGTCTATTCAAACTCCGCCATTTAATGCAATTTCCCTTTATCTGAAAGTATCTGGGAAAACGGGGAAAAAAGTGTCAGGGAAATCGAAGGCATTTACCAAAGAAGAAGAGCTTTTTCTTCAAAAAAAAATTTTGCAAAACTTGTCAACCAAATTGTCATCATTATCAGTGTTATTTTATGGCAGTGCCTTCATCGTTTCGGCGATCCCCATCTGTGAGTTCAGAATGTTGGAAAGTCCACAAATATGATTGATATTATTGTTATATTAGTATTTATAAGTTCTACTACGCATTTTAGTATACGTTTATATTATGAGTTTGCGATTAAATGAATTGTTATATAAAAATTTCACTTTTGAAAAGTTAACCTCTATCTTTTCGTTACAGGACTTTTCTAAAGAATTCATTTGATCGACATTTACACCAATTAAATTTTCTTCGTTTTAGTCACATTAATTAGTACATACGCTTTTGTTCTCGCGTATAAAAATACCAAGTTTATGTTGAAACAGAAGGTACTGTACATTAGTAATAGAACCTTCAAATAAAAAGGTATCTATGATTTCTAATTTTTTAAAGTGAAATTGTATACTTTCCTTTAGATTGAAGTGAAAACGGAAGATGTAGTGACAATGGATATGAGCAGAAAGTTAACAGAAGACAAGAAGATAAGCATGCAGGAAAAAGATGAAAGGTAGTTAAATATTCTTAAATGCACAATATATTCAAACTGCATTTAATATCGTATTGTAACATGATCAAATTTCTAGGTTGTGGAAGAAAACCGAGGTGGCTAATTATAAGACAACAACATTCTCAATCTTTTGCAACAATGCCTTATTCTTAGCTCTTGTTTAATTGTACAAGAGCTAAGAATAAGGCATTGTTGTAAAAGACTGAGAAAGATCTTCATTCTACATCTTGAAGACACTTACTCCAACTGTAAATTACATACTTTCTGTTAGCGCTACTGTATCACAATAATTTATGCTGCCAAAGAAATGTGTATGAATGTTTGATGGTAACCCATTGATATTACAAGACAATTCTGTGTGACACTGATAAGTAAATGAATACATATAATAAAATCGTTTTTATTTATAGAAATTTTACAAATTCGTGTTACTACGATACGACATACTTAAGATTTTATGTGGGACACCCTATAGATACTGAGGCCGATAATACATATTGTGTCATCGGCTATTCGACAATCGACGACGGCGACTACTACAGTGAAGACAGTTAATAAACAGCGTTCAATGTATTAGTCACGTCTGTATAAGCAGTTTCAATTTTCAATGGATAGTACTGAAAGTTCTTTTGGTAATATCTCGGAAACTAATGATTGGCTGCAGCTAATATTTTGTATTTGGAGTCCACCCACCCTTCTCCCCATTCCCTCCAAATTTCGTGTCGATCAGCGACCAGGATCTTTCGGAGCTACACCCAATTTATCCTTATTTTAAGGAGTACCCCCTTAAGTAAGTTCTACATGAAACATTTTTCGAAACACAAATAGTTCGGAAGATAATTGCGCGGGTTGATTAAAATGAGGCACCCTGTAATATGTTCTGGACAAGAAGCTACTGATTACTGAAAAATTCTTCCTCCTTCGCTGTCTGCTAATGGTCCATATTTCATTCTTCAATACTAAAAATTCATAAATGTATCATAAATAATGAGTTATTAATGATTTTTCACCAGCCGATTTGATTTAGCATCTGGGAGGCGGAGCTTAGGGAAACACGGGCGAATAAGAAACGTTTTCTCTCTATCCCTCTCGCATTTGTTGCGTGTTCCTTGCGTAAACCTCTGTTCAATGCCTGTTACTAGTAACGAGCCGTTAGTTCGCGCCGTCAAACAAAAGATGATGTTGATGTCGCCATAATGCTTTCTCGCTACCCTTGTTAAACTTATGGAGGATTCTTTCTCCCCGTTTCTATCTTTTTATTTCTTTTCTTTTCTATCATATAGCATATATTTGTATTTATAACCGCGTTGCAATAACGTCATGATTATGCGTACCTTATATTTAGTTTCACGACGAATGATTAATCACGTCGCATCCACATCATTCCGTTACAGCCTTTTGTCAAACTGCCCAGATAATATGGTTGAGGGAATCAATGGACTGCACGTAGATTATCGAGTGCCTAACAATCAGAAAATTAATCTTTTTGGCAAGACAGACGGTAATATTTGCGATTTACGTTACTGCGACTGTCCGAGTTATGGTTTATCGTCGCTTGCAGGCGACCGAATATTTTCGTACAAATTAATTAAATCCCGGCTCTATTGCGGATGACGAATTATAACGGATCACAGATTGTAATCCATTATACGCAATTCTAACGCGGGCCATTCTAATGCTTTATTTGCTTGTTTAACTTGGACCGGTGCCAGCGTATAACCCGTCGAAGGAAAATCCCTCGCCAAATTGTATATTCTATTCCTGTACAGAAGTGAAAATGCAAACATTGACTTATGAACGGTATACCATTCTCACCGCTGCATCCTGTTGCGTACACTTGTTGCATTTCAGCATAATCGACAATTTAACCTATACTTAATATGCAACATACGATGACTCGAAGTGGTCGTATCTCAAAAATGAAAGATTTACAGATTTATGTTTATTAGGACTTTTACTGCGTTTCTAAGTGATTGCATATCATCGAATAACCCAGCGGGTTTTCGTAATGCAAGGAACCAGAGTATTGGCACAATCGTGGCCATGCATTTGGCAGAAGCGTATCACTTTCCTGGTTTGATTTATGCCGTCACGTGATACTCGTGTAATCTTGACAATTTTCGACGGATAAATTGAGATTCAATTATTACGCAAAAAACATCGAGAATTGGAATCTATAGAACAAGCTAACCTCTCAAATTCCGTGAAGTCCAGACTAAACATTCGATGGTTGCTCGAAACATTGATAAATAATAGTTTACAATGTTAGTTAGGTGGCTTACTACTCGGCTTCATGCATTTTGGACCTTCTCCAAAAGTGTTGATCTGCGGTTTCCAGACAAATGTTAGCCGATTCTCGCGGATGATCCTTGTTACCAGACCAACTTATTATCCGGCAATGTTCCATCAATAGCAGACTTATTACGTGCTCTACTACAGCTTATGGATGTTTGAAGACGATCTGTCATACTAATACAAGAAGACTTTTTCTTCCTTCGTTTGATTTATGTTTCACCGTTGAAGAAGCGAGTCGGGTAGTGTTACACGGTTTTATGCGCTGTCAGAGCTCCCTTTATGTGGACGAGGCTGCTGATGAAATCTCCAGAAGTGATGTAGGTTATACGCTGCTCAAAATAATTACGTCATATGACTGTAAAATGAACTGTTTCATTTGATTCGCTATAGGTGGTATTTGATGTCTACATAATGTAAAAGAAATTTTGAGTAGAATATTCACAATTACTTCAATACAAATTTGGTTCATAATTAATTCGAAGTCTGCGGTTGAGCTTAGAAAACGGCTCGTAAATAATTTGAGAACACTAGACGATATTGCAGTCTTGTACGAGGCAAGGTTGTAGTTATGTGATACAGAGTTGGTCTACTCGTAAATCGGTTCCTTTGTTCCCGCCTCACTGTGCAGGTTTTTTGTCTCGATTCCAAGCCATAAGTTGTACATTGATTTTACTGCCGTATGCCACTGAGTATTACTGTCGTTTACGCTGACCACAGAATTTTCATTCTCTATTTTCGTACCCCGCGGTGCAGCAATATCATTCTCTCTCTGCGCTTCAAAAAGACGCATGCGATCGTGGTCGCATAGTCGCCTCAATGAACGGATACAGGATGTGAACGCGTCGTTCCAGCGGACGGTCTAAAATTAAGAGAGGAATCCATCCCGGTCGGACTTTCATGCTCCCTCCTCTACATAATTTCAATTCCGAATTATTTACGATGTTGCACGATACTTTCTTCGCAAAAGAGTCCGGGTTACCTTTTATAATCCGTTTACAACGATACCAGTCGCTCAAAGGTGATGAAATTTTTTTTATTTGTTCTAAAAAAAATTCTGAAAATATTTTATTTAAATATTGAAATTGAGTATCTTTAATAAAATTCCATCAAATTTAAAAATGTAAATTAAAACGTATTCAAAGATTCATATTTTTTATTTATACTAGTACAAATAATGAAGTAACCATAAAAAAATTCTATTATATACTCTTTTATTAACTAAATATGTCGTAAAAAATAAAGAAATTTAACACTTCTGTGACTAGTGGGACACATATGTCTCACCTGAATGTTCGAATAAAAATTGATCACGATTTAGTATTCATAAAAAATAATTCGGTCACTAAAGGGTTAAAAATTCACAATCAATAAAAAAAAATCCACATTATTTTCACTGAAAGAAAAGATTCAACGATGTAGCAAGAAAGAAAGAGGTAATGAGGGGGTCGTTGAAGCTGGAGGGTCTAGAACAAGAAGACGGCCCTGATTTCGAGCCTCGCGGCAGCGCCTGAATCCCAGAAATAGCGCAAGCGCTTTCCAAAAGCTTTAAGGCCCGTGAAGAAACGGAGAGAAGGAGAGTCAGACTGGCTGGAGGTCGCGGGGTGCGGTCCGGCACCGCCACGCAACCGCTATATCCTCCTTTTCGAATATTACCACGGCGATAGCCGTTCCTCGTGACAGTGCTCGACGGACAGCAACCATACCAGCACGCACGATCACGTAGAACCTTGATAATTTCCGTTTTCCCTGCTCGCGTAGTAAAAAATTCCACGTTCCGCGTCCACGACGACGATCTCTTCCTCGTCGTACATCTGGCTGTACAAAGTGTTTTTTTTTTTGTTTTTTGAGTAAATTTGTTCCTTAATTTAAAAATAAAAAAGTAAAAAAAAGTAAAAAGAGAATCGCGCCACCATGGTATGTTCTATTGATGATATCGTAAGTCGTCGCCCTGGTAAACATACACGTTTTCCTGTTGTACTCTCTCTCTCTCTCCCTCTATCTTTTCTTTATTTATTGTATTTTTTTACTCTCTACCTAATCTATCTATCTATCTGATTTGTTCATTCATTACTGTGCCTAGACTTGTCTCTATTATTTCTCTTCACTATTTTTCCACTATCTGTATTCTTGTTTTGTGGTTGTTGAGTCAATCCAAGTCTCGAATGTCTACTTGATGAAATATATTGCTGAAAATAATTTGAGAAACAGTTTAAACTGGAGTTTCTATTCTTTGGAAGCTTTAGTAAAGTGATACTCTAGTTCTTTTGAGCAGTATATTACCTGACACGTGTTGCAGGGGGATGTTCAGTGCATTCTGATGCAACAGGTGTAAATTGGTAAGAATGGCATTGGAGATACGGATTCCTCCACTTCCGGCGCGGAATGCCTGCATCCACTGTTCTTTTTGTTCTCTTTTTGTCTCTCATTTTTTTCACCATAATATCTTTTCTGGCCTGTTCTGACTTTTGTTTTAATCTTTTTTTTACTTGTCTAAACAATAACAGTGGTTACAATACCTAACAGCGAACGAGAGTTATTGGTCCAGAGATGCGAGGTCCTGGAAACGTGATTGTTTTTTACATGGCGAATTTTCTCGGGCCTCCGTTCCTCCTGTCGATTTAATCAATTAAATTGTGATTAACTAGCAATTATGCCTTGTAATAATAATGTGTATATTTATGATCAAATAATAGAGGAAAATTGGAAATATCGTTGAGTGATACTTAAAAATCGAGAAGAAGAAGGGAGACGGCCTGATGTCTGACTAGTCGCGACCATTTCTACTGCGCTCAGTTCCAAGCGTCGCAAACCTCGGGACAAGTTGTTCTAAAAATCGAATTAAATTGCAACTTCTGGTGTTAATGAAAAGAACAATAATATTCAATTGCATTGGAACAACAATAAGATATGCATGAACATTTTTTAGAATATCACTACGTTAACCATGCACGTGTACTTCAGAGTTTCTTCAACTGATTCATTCACTTCGAATTAATTCGTTCTTCGTAACACAGCTCGTAGAATATGTATAATGATTAGAGTAACAGAATGTCCTCTGGCGATGTTTAAACTTAGCAAGATCGATTTATCATTCAAAATATTCTTCATTTTATTGGATTAATTATACGGTGATCGAATTTTATTTTTCTTTGTTCGCAGGCCGACGAACTTCCCCCTGAACAAATCGCTGGTATGTATCGATAAATCGATAGAGACTAACCTAAAAAAAGTAACAAACATTAACAATATTCTGTGCCTACTGGTCACTATTAAATAATAAAGAAGATATTCGTTCACTCGTAAACTAAATAATAATTCAATTAAAAATTATATAAATTGAGAAACTTCCAAAAGACTAAAAAAAGCTACATAATACAGTAACGATAAGATTTCTTCTCCAGAATCATGCATCTAACCAATAGGTGACGCCATATTGCCAGGCATTTAAGGTCAGCTCGCCATAATTCAAAGCTCTTTAACTGAATCAGTACCACTACCATATCAATTAACATTAGATACATTAGTAAAATAGAGTGTATGTTTCGCCATGGTAGCACTGGGCGCGCCATTCTTGGCTTTCCGATATTTCAATCGCGTTGAAATCGTATCGTGTTTACTGGACGCTGGTTACGTCTAAATTTAACCTGCTCGCTGTTTCTTCGTTACGTTTCCTTGTCGGCTTCTTGACCCTTCTGCTGCCTGCGACCAAGGGGGGCTCGTTTAATCGTTCCGGAAGATACACTGGCTGAACGTCTATCTTTAGGTTACCCTATCCATCGTTTCATGTCAGAAGCCAGCTACGTTCCGAGCTCCTCTATTTGAATGCCAAACCTAGAACAGAGAAAGCTTGTCCAAAAACTGTGTAATTTCGACGTTTGTCAGATTGACACGGTGGTGTTTATTGTTGGGACAAGTCTTGATTGTATTTCGATGCTTTAATCGTCAGAATAATAAGACAAATTTATAGCTGATCTATAATATAAGAACAAATATTCTGTTTTAGTTAAATCATAATGAGGTTATGTTAATTTTTATTTTACGATAAAGAAAGTTTTTAAAATCATGATTAATGATTAAAAATTATTTCAAACCTGAAAATTCTAGAAATTTGTTCTGATACAAGTCTAAAAATGTTGTAGGTTAGTTTTTTAATGAAACAAAGTTAAACTGGAGCAAAGAACGGATGGACCAAATAAGAAATCTGAACGGCACTTCTCAGAGTTTATTTGCGCTACAATTCGATCGGGGGCAGCCGGTATAGGCTGCCTATGTATAGCTACAGAACCGTCTTAGCTGCCGTAGTATGATGAGGAGGTATCGCGTGACGATTCGATCAAGATCGATAAAAATAGAGAAAGGATTCTCCAGAGAGATCGAAAAATAGAAGCTCGTAACGGCCCACTGGTTCTGAAGAGAAAACGAAATATTCGATAATCGCGAGACGAAAACATTTGTCCTGCAGTAAACATGTCTGGTTTAAAAAAATCTGTTACTTACCAATTTCTTTTTATTGTCATTTGGTTACTCAAAATAATTAACCAGATTCAACTTCTTTTTTATATATCTAAGAAAAGAGACCTACTTTTGATTTCCCTTGTACACATTTCAGTGTGCTTTTTTTATCATATACAAAAATTCGATAAAAATGCGAAAAAATTGTGGTCAGCTTTCATCAAGACTGTCATAAACAAGCTATCACATAAATTGCCGTAAAATTCCTTCACACTGACAACGATAAATAAACGCTCTAACCAGTGTGAACGGTGGTGCATCAAGCCAAATAAGCTTCGAGCCAGAATCGTGAGCGTACGAAAGGGCATTAACATCGGATTCTAAATCCGTAACTGTATCGTAGACAGCTCTTAACACGACGAAATATCACTTAAAACAAACCAGAATCCTCCTCTCTGCAATTTTCTATTTTTACGAATAAATAAAATATAAATCTTTCTCTGATAAAAAATTTTATGATTTTATTTCAGTCCTTCGTAAAGCGTTCGACAGCTTCGACAGGGAGAAGAGCGGCAGCATTCCCACCGATATGGTGGCCGACATCCTCAGACTGATGGGCCAACCTTTCAACAAGAAGATTCTTGATGAGCTGATTGAAGAAGTTGACGCAGATAGTAAGTAGTATTAATAAAGCATTAGTCAGGCAGTCTTACAGTAAGTAAAACTTGTATTCAATTTGCATTTATTTTGAAATTTTATCAATTTAAAATGAATAACGTTTAATTTAGAGATAAGGTTAATACAAATTTATGAATAGAATTTTGTTATTAATTAACAGAATCTGGACGCCTGGAGTTCGAAGAGTTCGTTACCTTGGCTGCGAAATTCATCGTTGAAGAGGATGCAGAAGCCCTGGAGAAGGAACTTCGAGAAGCTTTCAGGCTTTATGACAAAGAAGGTAGATATACACCTTCTTTATACTTTATTCAGAATAAAAGTCTGGTGAAAACTCTTCTTCCTTACTAATCTCGTGTTTTCCTGGATCGAGTTTTACAATCAAGAAAAAGCAAAAGAAAAATTAGAATTAAAATTAGTATTTTTGTTGTTCAAAATATGTTTGTCTGTGCCAAGGAAATTTTTCCTACGATTTATAGAAAATTTTCCGACTGTTATTTTAAATTGTTTTATAAATACTTACATTCGTTTGTCTAAATTTTTTATACAGCCTATAAGACAAGTTAAAGAATGAAACGGTGATGGTAGAAAAAATGACGCAAAACAAGAATAAAGAAAGATATATCGGTCAGCCGAGAATAGCCGGTTCCGCGAAACAAGCCGCGTAAAAGAACCGCTCCCCGCTTCGTTTCATGGGAATAAGAGTCGACTACATTCGAGATGTCTGAGGCTACCGGGATTACCGCCAAGAATCAGACTCGTTTTATCACCGAAGCCTTCATGAATTACGATCAAGTCAAAGGCTTTCGGACATATATTAACGGGACTATTCGCTCCCCCTCTTCACCAGTAGACTAATAACTCATGTTCCTTTTCGATTTTAATGTTGAAAAACGATTATAGATGTTTGAAAATATTGGTTGTAATAAATTTCTAAGGTGAAAGGTTATTTTTCGTACAGGAAACGGTTACATCCCGACTACATGCTTGCGCGAAATTTTGAGGGAATTGGATGACCAATTGACGGACGAGGAATTAGACATCATGATCGAGGAGATCGATTCTGATGGATCTGGCACCGTTGACTTTGATGGTAAGAGGAATAGAAACAAGTGTTAATTGGTCTTTTATCGACAGTTGAGTTTATTATGTATTATAGGTTATATAGTCAATCATGTCAAATTGTTTGATTTGTTATGGATAAATGTTTTTAAAGTGTAGCTACTGATAGAGACACAATAGATTCAAGCAACGAAATAAATAGTAATATCATTTGTTACTGTGCTGGAAAGTTAACACGTGCTACCTACCGAGTATTGGTGTTTATTTATACAAGATCGGCGTTGTTTCTCTCATGTTCCCGCTATTTATGTACTCGTTCGAGAAATTGACGTGATTTGTCACGACTTTAAAAATTCGGATTGCTAAAGTTTTTATTCTTACTTTATTGTTGATGTTATAGATAGAATAAGAATATAGTTGTTGTTAGCACTATTTTTAGAATGTTCGTATTATTAAATCGTGAGATATTCCAAGTTTTTCGACTCTCTAATCCTGTTCCAACTTCGATACAAAGATTTTGGCATCCTTCACTTTTTACTCGTTACAGGATTCAACCTGCAAACTGCATCCTGAGTATTAACGATAATTTATCTTCGAACAGTCATAAAACAAGATCGATGAATAATAACTCGAACGCGTTCGTGGGCTCGAGAGAAAATATAATTATTACTTCTTTATCTTGAATAGGCCAACTGTAAAATCAACTACTTGTTGATTCTTTTTTAAATGTAATAATTTTACGTGCTAATCTACATCTTTAAAGTGACGTACAAACCATTAGATAACCAGGGTTACCACTAATTTCGAATTTATAATCAGACCGAAAAAAAGAAATAAAACATCTTTCATTTTTTTAACCGATAAAAAATTAAAATATTTATTTTAATTAAATACATTTTGCAGAATTGTAGAATAAAAATTTTCTGTTCCAGAATTCATGGAGATGATGACTGGAGAATAAATCAGTTGACGTGTCGGTGATATCAGTACTCAAAGACAATACAAGTGCGACGATCACGTTCTATTCTCAAACTAATTATCTGCGTGTTTCTTTTAAGAAAAACCAAAAAAAGTTGCAGTTGCAAATGAGAACAGTGTCTCTAAATGCGTGCAAAGGTTATGTCTCCTAACGTCATGACGCGTCTTCGTCTATTGTTCAAGCTCGTTGGATTTTGGAACGATTGGAAAATAGCTTGTGTCACGAGGAAGATCTCGTCTACGGATTTTTCTTCTACTTTAACGAGTGTCACAAATTAACTATTTTATATGCGAGTCGTGATTATAATTATTATTATTATTGTAAAAGTAACGAGTCACAGGTTCCAATATATTTGCATCACGCCTGCTAAGTTTTTCATGGACAGTATTTATTTGTTGTTAATAAAATACCATTGAAAAGAACTTGAAATTTCCTTTCCACTAAAAATAATCAAATCAATAATACTTTTAATGATATGACAATAACTATGGAATCACTGAATTAGTTACGATTTTAATATTAAGGTAGTGAATGGAACAAGGGCATTGATCGCCTAGACTTTTTATTTCTTTAACATTTGATTCATAATCACAATAATTCCAGACTTCTCCGTAATTGACATGTCAATAGTCGCAAATGTAACGCAGTGTAATACTTTTAAAAAAATATAGTCGCTAATGATAGACTAGAAAGTTCGATAACTATATAATAGTGGCACTAATAAACTTTGAAAATTTCAATCGCGACGAATTCATCCTCGGGATTTATTGGTCGCGAAATAAATTTATAATTTCACTCGAATACGTACGTTAATGCAATCGTGTTCACAAGAGAGAATCAAACGTAGGTTACGAAATAACTTGTATGACTTAGAACACTATTCGCACAAACGTGGACTAGACTATACAGTATACAGAGACAAGAAACCTTAATTGGTTCGATTAGGACTAAAAATTCTGTGCATTCATGCGTCAAAGAATTTTTATAAAAAACTGTTACAGAGATTCCAACTACGCATTCAAATTTAATATTGATAATTCGAATACTTCATAATTCGAAATTTTATCCGTGCAATCAGACTATTTTATTTTATATATGCTAATTTTATTTACCTATATCAGAATACTTGGAATGATTTTACATACTTCAGGTGGTCCTCATGCTTAGAATGAGAAAAAAAAAAAGTTTCTCCCTTACATATAGAAATATATATACAGTAATTTTTTAATGCTAATCTATTTGTTTTTTTATCTTTTTGCGCTCTTTTTTACCTAGAATAAATAGTGTCATTCGCTAGAAAGATTAAAACGGGAAAAAAATATAATCTGATGCGTTTAAAGTTCTGCGAATCGTGTGTGTGTGTGCGTTCTTGATATATTAGGTAGCTGAGCAAAATAGAAGTATTAGAAAAATAAAGAAGATATTTTTGATTGGTAACTTGTTTCATCGTCGTTTCTTCTCATTGTACATACCACAACCTCCTTACTTACACGAGAGTTTGCAAATCATCTTCTTCCAAATCTTTATTGCCGCAGGGCGACAGTAAATGTCACATTTTAAACAAATGCGGAAATTCATTACTAATTTCGCGTACCGACTGCTGGTCTTCTTGACTCTCTCCAGTCTCCTCGCAGAATATTCTACAATAAGAATAATTTGTTATTATGATAACAGTTGTATAACATGATTAGTACAGACCTCGTGAAGCACTTCAGTAAATCTTCCGAACGATACTTATGTTCATTATAGCTGGAGGTACGAAGTACTCTTCGACATAGTTCCAAATATTGTCTGCGCTATAAATCAATGATTATGTTAGGTTTTTAATTTTTGTATTAGTAATAAAAACGCCTTTATCATATCTTGATACCTTATCACCGGGGAACATATCGTACAATTGACGCAATATAATATCAATTAGAACTTTCACGTCGTTAGTGTAAAAAAGACCTGCCGTGATGTCGTTGCTAAACAAATCGATAAACAGTTTCAGTACAGAATGCGGCGGAGGTGGTTCATGATCGAATATTCGCACAGGATCTTCTGCAATAAATCACAGGTTTGCTGGAATTCAAAAGATATCTCGCTTTTTAAATATCTCACCTTCCCTGTTAAATAAAAGTAAAATTTTTTCAGTGAAACTTTTTGCTACTGTTCTTTCTTTCAACGCATTCAGAACTATATTTTCCGAGTTTGTGAATTGTAAATTGTAGGATAATATTAAATTCACAAACAAGTCTGGAATTTGATCTTCCAAATCCATATCTGGTGGATTTTCTATTAAATCCAAGATAAACGTAATAAAATCCGGACCTAATTGTTCTACAATGAAACTTACAATTAATATCTATGACATATATAAAGAATATCGCGAGATAATGCAACAAACAACACATTACCTACATTACTCACCCAAATGTGTAACTGGCATGGGTTCACCCATTGAAAAGATCATAGTAAGTAATAATGATGAATAATTTAATTTTGTTACGTTTCTAGGGTTACTCCTCATATCTCTATTTAAAGATACATTTCAAATTGTTAATTAAGTATCATGTGTATTAATAAAGTTTATTAAATATTACCTTGCCAGTTCCATAGGTAATACACTGTTTAACATTATGGTTAAGATCACAGAATCTAGACTACACATTACTCCGAATGACTGTAACAGCAACTGTCTAATTGTCCATCTTGGCTCCATTTGATAATACTGTATTAATATATTAACCCCATTATATTGATTCTGTTGCAAAACATATCTAGATACATTTGCATCCGCATTTGTCTGTAAATTTAACGAATTACGTAAATTACGTGACAATAAAACAATCGATTTTTGTAATGTAATGTATAGTATACCAATATAGAAGTAAGTTCCTTTATATAATCAACAATAATAGATTCATCTTCATAAAGCATCCAATTTCTCTGTTGAGAATCTTCTTTGCAAGAAGTAAGCTCTGTAAAAATTACTTTCAATCTATTAGCGTCGTACGTTTCCTCTATGCTCATTTGCGACACCGTGAACGGTGTTTCCAACTGATGCAATAATGCATCGAAATAATGGCTCACATTCTGTGGTAACAATTGTTGCAGTCCAGAAACAACTACTGTAACCGCGACTTTAGACATCTCGTAGCTTAACTGAGTATTTCTACGCACTTGGTCAAGTAACTGATAAGCCGTATGAGAATTAATATCACATAATGAACTTTTCTTTTTTATAGGCGAATTAACAGGGGTTTGTCGAGCACTGCTCTGAGAAGGGCTCTTACGAACTTCTGCTTGAATCTTTTGTGACTCAGAAGAAGACTGACGTGGAAGTGATTGTACCCTTTGTTCACTGATAGATGCACGCTGACATTGTGGAATAATTGGTGCTTCTTCTTTCTCATTGTTAGTATGCACAGTTGTTTGTGCCGTCATATATGATGTATTACTCTGAGCACAATGAACATCTCCCTCTGGATTATTACAAACAGGAGATGAACATATTTCTGAGTTAGGGGTAGTACTTCCAAATTCTGGAGGCATTGGAGCTTGCCTCTTAGTCTTCTTGTGTGCTTCAGCTTGTCTCTTCTTCTCTATTAATCTTAGAAGAAGATCCTGCTTGTCCAAATGCATTTCAGTCTTTACATTTCCTATGCAATCCTCCAAAAATTCAATTAATACTTGGGATGATACCTAAAGAAGTGTATCACTTTTAAAGACTCTCAGTTGTTTATTAAAATTTGATTACTGTACCTTCACAGTGGTGACATAATTCGAGGGAATATATCCAATCTGGCCGTCCCTGTTAACCACTTGCCACCAATTTCTTTGCTTGGTATTGGTTTGATATAAAATAAAATAATCGCCCTCCTGAAAGCTGAGGGTTTTCGAGAATGTGGCCTTGAAATCGTAGAGAGCTTTAAGCACTTCATAGTTCTCTACGTGCGCAAAACGATGATGTTAAAAAAATAAAGTAATATTTGTGAAAATATTGCGGTATTCGACAGCTGCAGAGAGATCGATCAACGACTCACCTAACCTCATGGAATTATCACCCATGATCGTGAATCGAAATGGAAAGTGATATTCGCTCCCGAGGAGACAACGCCCAGGTGAGAAGTAAACGGGCGGAGAACTGCCTACCACCGTTCACTAATTTCACTTTCATTCGTGCTCGACATATTATTTTTCCACGGTATCCTTTTTTGTTGGCCAGTTATATAGATGAATTTGAGAAGGCCCTCTAGATCGTGAGATTGGCATAAGCCGAATGCTCCCGGATTGCAATTGCAGTAGCTATGCTGCATGAAGAATTTTCAACGCATGGGCAGATTAGAATTTTGCATATACCTCTTCGATTCCATAATATATTTTTGAAACATGTTCGAGTGGGGTTAAATAAAAAAAGCCTTAAACTTTTCGAATGTAACATTAGTGACAGAATATAAAATTTTCATTTAATTTAAATGTTGAGAGTTAATAATTGTATTTAAATGTATAGGGTTAACAATTGAATAAAGATATCGGATGTAGGGCATCAAATAACTATCGAATAAATCTCGTTCATATTATATTTTATACGCCATTAAATTATAAACGCGATATGATCGATTAAAGTTGCTCAGTGGGTAATAAAGTTGTAAATTTGAAACTGAAATATATAATTTTCGCAATGTCCTTTAACCTAAAATAGATATGTGCGATATAGAAGAAATTCTAAACCGTATGATACTTTACGTTTAACCCAATAAAACATACGAATTCCGTAAAGGGGAATAGTCTGAGCGTAATCCAATTCCAATTATAATGTTCTTGTATATAATATTCGATTTTAGAACGGTATTTGTAAAACAATAGGGTAAGCTGTAGAATATTAACGACAATGTAGTAATCAATAAAATTAGTACCTAACACTGTTAAAAGAAACTTACATTATATTTTGTTTGGGTTCGTGAACAGAGAATTCATTTGAACATTATTCCATATACACATGTCATACGAACTGGTAACTTAAATCTGTTTATGTATACAGAGAGATTTTCTGTGAAGATAACGCGCACGCAATGCGTTGCTTGAAAGATGTGATTGTAAACAAACATCAGTTTAACGCTACTTAACAAGAATTTCAATCACAACTCGGATTAAAATGATTAATATAACATCGCTATGTGCTAGCTAAAATATAATTTTACATACTAATATCGCAAATAACAATTTGCACGTCAAATGAATTTCTTGCGAGAACGTATGTTAAAAATCACGAATCGTTTTGACGGAAGTAAGTATTATCTTTTGTAACATAATTTTAGATTATCATAAAACTATTTCTAGTACTAATAAATATTAAATTTCCTGTAATATGAAATATTCAAAGAGTATGAAATTTTTAAATATAACCTTTGCCATTGACATACATACAAACGAGTGCATTTAATACTTGATTACAAATAATAACATAATATTTGGATTTATTCAGTGTGATCACAAAAATTGTGGTACATTGATTGCAGGATTTCATTGAAACGTCTATCCGTCACGATGCCAGGTAAAATAAAAGTGAAGATACTGGCAGGACGAAATTTGCCAGTGATGGATCGTTCAGGTGATACGACGGATGCATATGTCGAATTGAAATTTGGCAATATCACGTTTAAAACAGATGTATGCAGAAAATCGCTTAATCCTCAGTGGAATTCAGAATGGTACAGATTTGAAGTTGATGATTCTGAACTGCAGGATGAGCCACTGCAGATCAGATTAATGGACCATGATACATATTCTGCAAATGATGCAATAGGCAAAGTTTATATCAATTTGAATCCATTATTGTTACCTGGTGTTCCTCCTACTGTTAAAAATATCTGGACATTAGAGGCTGCTATGAATACCAATGCTGGTTCTCAGAGTGGTATGTATCTGATATATGCATCAGATAGGATGTAAGGGAACTTAACAATGTTTTATTCTAGGTTCTGTGATGACTGGGTGGATACCAGTGTACGATACAATGCATGGTATTCGTGGTGAAGTGAACATTATAGTTAAAGTAGAATTGTTTTCTGATTTTAATAAATTCAGACAATCCTCATGTGGAGTACAATTTTTTTATTGTAAATATAGAACAAACACTTGTTAAATGTCAAAAATTATTTTTTATATTTGATATATAGCATGATATTCTTCCAGCACCAAATATACCTCATGGATATCATACTCAGAGCATACATGGTTTTGTAGAAGAGTTAGTTGTTAGTGATGATCCTGAGTACAAGTGGATTGATAAAATAAGAACACCCAGAGCCTCAAATGAGGCAAGACAAACATTATTTTTTAAATTGAGTGGGGAAGTTCAAAGGAAAATTGGACTAAAGGCTTTGGACCTAGGTGGAAATGCTGTTATTGGGTAAATTACAAGTATCATTTCAAATGTTGCATGGAAGAGTTTTTATTTTAGATTTCATGATGATTAAATTATTTCTTTATAATTAGGTATTTACAAAACTTTGATCTGGAAGGTGAATCTGGCATTGTAGCTAGAGGTATAGGTACAGCTGTTACTCTTGTGAAACTACAAGATACTTTAAATTTTTCTTCTGACAATATAGAAGAGTAAGTATTTGCACTGCTTTTAATGCATTTAGTTTAATCTTTCATAGAAGAGTTCTGCATTAATCGTGTCCTACACCTGACCCTATAAAACCTTGAACCAAGTGCTTTTTGATATAACAATATCAGTAATGCTATAAATATTATACTGAAGTGTTCTGTGTTGTGAATTATAATGCTGATTATTTAATTTAGGTAGTAAAGTTTGCCCTTTTGCACAATTTTTTATACTGCTTATTAACCAAATGCATGTAAAAATGATATTAAGCCTTTATACTGATATAAAACCTGTCCGTTTTTTATTTTCTTTTTTAGTAAAATATTGATTTAATTAAAAAAAAAAATACTAACACTAAGTCAACAAATATTGATACTTTTTTATTAATTATACTTGCAAACAATTCAAAGTCTGATGCGTTTGTGTACAAAGGAACAAAATGGTTTCTGATGATGTTCCATTCATAGTCTATCATTGGCATATACTTTCAAGTGTATTATATCTTATTTTAACTTCTATGCATTGGGTGTCCTATTTCTTAAGAACTATCACTTCTATATAAAAATAGAGAATACAATATTTTACAGTTTTTGTATTTCGCTTACGAAATTTTATTATTTATTTCGAGCAAATAAAAATTTCATGCCTCGATGCCTTTGCCAGTGTACAAAAACACAGACTAAAAGAAGATTCGCGTACATTGTTGTTTCATACAAAAATTTCTAATCATCATATCATTTTTCTAGGACACCCGGTATATAGAAGCTAGATCGAGGTCTGATACGCGTGCATTAGAACCAGGACGAAGTGTATAAAAAAGCGGGGCACTCCAGTAGAGACTGGAAATAAATAGGTACGCCACACGCGCATCCAACTTTGATCATTTAAAAAATAAAAATAAATTAGTGATCGTTGATTGAACGAAACACATTAATTTCTAGAATTCTGATGCACAAAACTAATCAGGTCTTTTTCTTTTTTATCCACCTGCATGTGTCTACATAGGGCATTCTTTTCACAACACAAAGCACAAAAGGAACATACAGGACTCGATGAGAGTATACCACTGTATCCTGTTAATCCCGCGCATATCCCTGATCCTGTTCTTGCGAGCACGCGTGGCACACGCATAAAGGACAATTTTTCTTACCGCTGTAAACCATTAAAAAGTCCCAAAAGAACTGCAAAGAAGGTAGAATGCCCGTGTCGCGAATTGGAAGGCATACGAAACATTGAAAAGTCAAGTTTAAAGAATGCTGCAGTCTCTTATCCAATTTTAACAGAATCAGTAATTCAAGACGCTTCTATAAGAATGATGTTAGCCTTAGAAGATGAAAGAGGTGAGAGTAGTAGCAATATATTAGACCTTAGAAAAAGTTTGAAAAGATTATTCAGCACAAGTGATGTAGAGAGTAGGGCTAGTAGTTCCCGTTTGAATAGCTCAGCCAGGTCTTCTGTTGTGAGTCTACCTTATCCATTAAAAGAGAAAATATTAAAGGATAAAAAACCTAAAAAAGGAATAACTGCTCTTCTAGTTAAATCTATTCATAGTGTGCCTCTAGAGAATGTTAAGGAGGATCATGAAATATTATCAATAGTTGCTGATGGTACAAAGGAACAGGAAAATGTTGATAAACGTGATAGTCAAAAGAAAGAGAATGAGGATGACCTAAAAATTGAAACTCAAGCTGTAGCGCCAAAAAAGCAGATTAAAAACGAACACGATTCTTCTTTTGAAGAGAATACGCCTAGCTCTAATGGTTTCACAGAGGAATCTTCTATTGATAGCGCTAATTATAACATACTAAATGACTCAAAATTTTCATCGGATGAAGAATTGGAGGCTATCGATAAATTCGCTAAAAAGCTTCGTAGATCTGATACTTTTCCTCCATTGAGAACAAAGTCACCGCAAGTTATATTACAAAGGGTAGATAGCGACACACGTCCTCTTCACGAGGAAAGCATCTCTCCTCCTTTTGTAAAGTGTCTATCCACGAATCAAATATCAACGTCTAATTTGGAATTCTCTGTAAGTTTGAAAATTATAAATTCGAAAATGGAGGAAGATTTAGTGGAAATAACTCCTGTAGCGGTGAATGAAACCGTGGATTTTGGTAAAGTTTCACAAAGTCAGCAAAGCATTGGTAACTCACAAGACTTCTGCCTTCCTCTGGCGACAAGCACTCCAGTGGAAAGTCAACCTCCATTTTTCTCTGACATTCAAGAAACTGAGACATCTTTGATCGATGCAATCAAGAAATTAACTGTTCATGTTGCTAATTCTGAAGAACTCGATGCATCTAAAAACATCAGTGAAATTCCTATAGTAGAAGAATACGAGTATACTTCAACTGATGCGGATAACATGAAGGATGATTTGTCTTATGCTGATGATTCTGAAGGATCTATTTCAGCATATTCTTTGCTACAAAGTACAAGTGACATTGAGAGTAAAGATAAAACAACGCACAGACAGATAAACAGAGATAAAAGATTGCCATCCATGATCGAGGAGGTAGACGAAATCACTTATAGAGATTCTTTCAAAGATAAGCAACGTTCCGAGAGATTAGAGGAGCGTGATGTGTTAAAATCGACCTTATCAACTCATTCACTTCCATCGTTAAAATTCTCTACTGTAGATTCCAATGTAAAAGAAGATAACAAAATGATTTCAGATACCATGTCCAAAACTTCATCCAGTATAGAAAGTTTGTTGCAATCTTCAGAAACCGAAAGGCTCGAAATAACGCATAAAAATAGACAACGTCGTATGTTAGATTTAATTAGGATAATTGACACGAAAATGATGGTGCATCCGTCTCATAATAATAATGATGGTCGCGTTAAGAGGAAACAAAGAGACAAAACGTATAGGAATATTCATCCGAGGAATTTACGTAGGAATTTGCATAATGATTTTCTGAAGAAACGTCTTCACAATTACAAGCATAAAAAGATTATGCGCGTGTCCTCGTTCTCAAAGGATCTTCCTCTAAGTGAATCCATGCTACCACCATTGACACTTGACTCCTCTTCCTATAATTCCTCTCGAGAGAGTATAATCACCCGTGACATTTTAATTCAATCACATTTATGCAGAACAACCGAGTCGTTTCGTTCGAGGGGTAGTAGTTTCATCACCAAAAGATCTACAGTCAATCAGAGATCTCACGAGATCGCTGCCAGGGAATTAACTCTAATAGACACGCAGAGCAGCGACTCCTTGAAAAATAATAATAGTAGCGTGATAGAAATGAAGCGACTAAAGCGAAAAGACACTAACCAATCACCGCCACCTGTAGATCATGCGGTACATGAGAGTCATAGCATTTGTAATATAAGAGAAATGTCAGATCATGATGAATTAACTAATATTACTAACACTGCTAATATGACTGACAACACGTGTGTGTCCCGTCCTTCCCCCGATCATAGGCAACAAGACGAGGCATCTCTAAGTCCATCTTATCCACTTCCGGCTGTACCTCCTATGGTCTCAAAAGTATGTCAGTTACCAACAACTAAGGCACAACCGACTGTATCGCTGCATCGAAGATCCAGTGATTCGGATTTGAGTGTTACGCCAAAAGGTGAGCTTCCTTAATTGTGCAAAGGCTTTATTAAGATAGAGTTAATGAAATAGAGTTTGAATTAGTTTTGTGGCTTACAATGACTCAGAGATATAATTGGAGTATACAGTGTTGTAAATACACTGTAATTTGCAAAATACAGTGAGCTGCGGGTAGTTTACTATAGGTGAAAATTCAAATTACAGGATGACTCATAAAGTGAGTTATATCCGGCAAAGAAGAAATACCTGAAACAAAAATAACATAGTTCATGATGATTCCACATGGTTCTAGGTAATTTCTTTTTCAATTTATGTATGATAAAGATATTATTTATACTTCTTTGCCTATGTCTTATTGAATATAAACTAGAAGCTACTTTGTTGAACAAGGAATCACTTTATGAGACATTCTTTTCTTAGGAAATATATTAATAATGCATATTTTGATAAAAATGTTCTTTTTATTAGTTGATTAGTTAGTTGATTAGTTTCTGTTGTAACAGTTAAAAACGGTTAGTAATATATGTTATAGGTAATTCACTAGGGGCAAATGATAAATCAGTGACTGGTTTATTGAAAACTTCCACTGCTGTGATAAGAACCATGAATCAGGATGCATTTGAGATGCTAGAATACCCATTTATTACAATGCAACAGTATCCTCCAGGATTTATTCTACATATCGGTAAGCATCTCAACATATAACTAAATAATTTTTATTTTTTTTTTTAATTAATAGCTAAATTTAATCATAAAGCGTGTACCTTGAGACAGGTGGCCTTGTAAGCTCAAGATCAGTCAAACTCTTAGAAAGAATAAGTAATTTAGAAGAGCCTGAAAGTCGTGATGCTTGGTGGAAAGAAGTTAGGATGGAAGTTAGATCTCATGCCAGGGCATTAGCCTGTAATGTAGTTATTGGTTATAGGGAAGAAACTAGTATTTGGTAAGAATAAATAATAAAATGAAATAAAATAAAATTTGTACTATTTTATTTATTATACTCACATTCTTTACAGTGATGATGTCTGCGTATTAAATGCATATGGTACAGCAGCAGTAATCAATCTCCACAGCTCAAATCAAGACCCAGATAATGTTTTTATCAGCAAAGGACAATCAGGATCCGGCACAAATCCCACGGATACAGAACGCGATAAAGCTCAACAAAAATCAGTGCCCATAAAAATGGAGAAAAGCGATACCGACACATCGGTGCCCACTTTGGCTCAAAGTGGTAAAGTGAGGCATACGTCAGAGAGCAGAGATCACGAGGTTCTATTTCAAAGCAAATGCGGTCTCTGTCACCTGCCATACAACGAAGCGAGTGTTCCATTTCGCGTGAACGTTTCAAAATGCGCCATATGCAAACGAGCTAGGGTACCAGACGTAATGTTCACCACTACAGAATTACCGGAGAATCTTTTAACCACTGGACGAGGATGCATCATTCAAGCAACTGCCTGTAAAGCAAAGAAAGATCTCAGAGGAGAATTGAATGCCAAGGAGATATCAGATTGCTTGCCATTTTTAGAATACGAATTACACAGTCTACTATTAAATAAATTGAAAGTTAAGGGAATGAATGCGATATTTGGTTTGAAGTTGCAGGTCTCTGTTGGAGAGAGATTAATTATTGGCATGGCTGTGGGTACTGCTGTTTTTTTGGCTGCATTACCTACACCCTCCATTCCACAAATTGCCTCTGGAAATTCTTGGCACAAAGAGGAACAGTTAGCGGAAATTCAGAAGACTTTGGTAGAGACTGTGAAACAGAATAGAGAATTTTATCGACTTAAGCCTGTTGTAGTGGGTATATTATTAATGTTAATTGTATTTAGAATAGGAAAATATTGATGAGTGATTTATTTATTACAGGATGTTGAAAATGGACGAGTTACAACTTCAGATACAGATGAATCAGATGATGAGCTACCTGATTTAGATTTTAGTGTAGGTCCAAGGGATACTTGCGTGTTAGAGGTAGATGATATTGAGGATATGGATAGAATATCGTTATTGATGGATGATAGACCTCCAGATGATTTTCATGTGGTGAATACTCAAACAATTCCCGGCTTGGACGATTTGGAAATCGTGAGAAATTTACAGATGTTCACTCAAATTTCAAGGACGAAAATACCTGCTGGACAATTTGCTTCTATGCCATCGAAATACTTTGCTAGGTTACTGCAGGTATTTTTTTTATATTATTAGTTATTAATTTCAATTTTTCAATTATTAATTTATTGATCTTTTGTTCCAGTCTGTATATTTTAAATTAAGAAGAATGATCCCTTGTGCATTATGTGATATGCAATTTAAATTGGCGCTCCCTGAGCCAGACGAAATACAATTCACAGTAATTGGTATGGCACTTGGATTGGGAGACCCTGTAAAAATTAATAAATTCAAAAAGAAATTGATGAGCCATTCCATGAGCAAAGATCAAGTTAAAAAATCAGGTAGACACTTATTATTAATTTATAATTATTATTATACTTAAGAGACTTGCTAAATGTTGCATCTGTTTAGATGACAGTGATATGATATTTAATCTTGACGTGGATCATACTGAGATTTCAACGGATAATGCATCCAATAGTAATTTGAATTCCGTTACTTTAATTTATGCACCGTCGTTAAAATCCCGAACTCGTTCACCATTACGAACTAAAGTTCATACAACACATAGACATAAACACGTGAGTATTTCCATATTTAAAAAATCATTTTATAAAATATATAATAAAATCTATGTATTTTTAAAGGTGCCTTTAAAGGGAAGATACGGTGTGGACATAACACCTCTCTCCTATCTACCCGGTGGTCGTATAGAGAGGTATCTAGGAAACTTAAATTTTTTCTTCATTCGAGAAAGCACATCTATCAGAGAGGTTCGTATTCACACATATAAAATGAAATACGAATTAATAAGTAAATAAAAATTAAATTTGTGTTCTCTATAGAATGGTGGTTTAAGCGGATTCACACATAGTTTCGTGATGGAAGTTTTAGCAATTGTTCGCGCACACATTACAGCCTTGGGAGGCAATGCAATGGTTGCATTTTTCATGACTAAATGTGTTCTTCTTCATAGTCCTCATAAAAACCAAGTATATATAGTAATTCTTTGGTATTTAGCTCGGTTATGTGAACTGTAATTAAAGAAAACGAAATTTTAGGGCCAGTGTTTGATAAATGTCGGTGGAGATGTGGTGTCCGTGTCGTATTTCGCGGATGAGAAACACTGTGGAGTCACAAACTGCTGACCCCAACCTCCACATTCTGCACCACCATAGCTACAACTGCACTCCGAGAAGCAACGTCGAAAGTTCGACTTCTCGTTAATTAACGAGCGCCATTAGTCATTTTCGAATGTATCTCGTTACCTTGTGATAGAATAGGGCTTGTAAATATTCGAATCTCTAGCGTATAAGACACCGTAACTACAAATAAGTTATGAGATTTCGATTGTTTGTAGATAAGTTCGCGGAACATTGTAATTTTAGTCAAGCCTTCTCTAATGGTACAATAAATTGTGTTACATGACGCACATATGCTGGACTAAGCGCGGTTCTACGAACACGTACAGAGTTCTAAAAAGTAGCTTCGATGAATTAGGTGCCTTCAGAATTGTACATAATGTTTGGCAGACAATTTTTTTCATTCAACGAAGTAGCCAGTTATTTGTTGCTATTACATACAAACTGTATGATTCAGGCATCTGAATGAAATTGGATTTTTTTTCGATTGCAAAAAAGTAATAAAAACAACATAGATGTTCTATCGAAATGTAACATCGAGTTTCGAGAAAGGTTAACATACGATGGTCAATGTTAAGAGTGCTAAGTGTTTGTTCCCACTAAAGTATGACAAGATCGATGTTGTTGACTGTAAACATAGATCTGTCGTTAATTTTTCGAGCATCGAATTGTTTGTAATTCTGTAGATATTAGAGTAACAAAAGAAATTGTACAAGCATTCTCCATTGCGATAATGGAGAAACAATTCAAATTTTCTCAATCTATATCCTTCTAATGTTGTTGAATATATTTTTTCGGAAATTCGAACCTGCGTAAGATGTATAAAATTAGGGGATTAGAATAACAGCTTACGAGATGTCATGTACATCTGGATTGTTATGCATGTGTCTTTGATCCTTTACTCTTGCCATTGTTGTTTATGAATGATGGTTCTCGTTTGTACTTAATGATCTAACACTTGTCGTGCAAAGTCTAAACCACACAGTGAATGTGCATTGTAAAATAAGTTTGCGTTTTATTTTTACACAATCGTCTAATTACTCCCTGTCTGTTACAATGTGATCAAATAAAAAATTTGTTGTCGAACTCTATTCTTTGCGAAGCGTTAATATATATTTAAATATTCTATCCTTCTTTACTTAAAAAAAATACATATATATAATCAATAAATAGTTTTCATTTAACATCTTCATTATAACTCTGAATTAATACTGAACTCTGATGAATGATTAAAACTTTTACTTAACTCCCTGTTAAAAATGTTCGTCAATATCACATCGGTGACGCTGAAGTGGCTCAAAAATGAAAAGAGAAAATAAATTATCGCTTGTCAGTCCAAGTTATTGCTGCTTTCACTACAGAATTTATTTGCAAGAGGAAGAAGGGATTTTGTTAAGCTTTTCTTTTAAAAAAAAGCACAAAACGCTCGATACACAAACAATTTATCGCGATTTTAATTAGACACTCATTCTTTGCTTGCTTAGCTCAAAGTTTAATTATGCGATAACGTGGAGAAGAAACGCAAGGGCCATAATGTGAATCTTGGGACATGTCTGCGGATACTTTCCGTATCCCAACGATGAGACGATGAGACTTGAACTGTTCGTTTCTTTGAAGGGTGAAGCATTATTCGTAGCGACATCTAACGACGCCTCCCAAAGCGCAGAAAAACATGATCGACGTCCTGTCTTTTAACGCCACTGTCTAGTAACGGAATACTCTCATGAAAACCTACAAATAATAAAATAATTTTTATTACAATTTTTACTTTTTTATTAAAAAGAAATACAAATTAAAGAAGCACCTGTTATGTGATTTTCTTTCTCATCAATGTAGCTTTCCATTTCTGAACCAAGTTCGTATATCCTTGAAAGAGCGGCGCAGACTTTGCGAATCCTTGGAGGAAGATCGTCCAGAAAGCCCGGGTTGCACTGAGTCGGTAAAGCTGCCAAGACATTGTTGTAAAATATGGCCATGGTCACCATTGAAAAAAGCATCACGATTGTTTTGCTGACCATTCTTGAGAAAAAAAATATTAAACACTTTTCATCGTACCTCCATATCAAAAATTCAAAAATTTTAATCATAACATTTTAAGAAATGAATAGAAAATGAAATACAATTTTAAGAATTATTTGTTTAAGTAATTCTATATAAAATTTGTCGTTAGGTACGATTTCTTTGACAATGACATCACAAAAGGACTTGCACCACAGGCGAGGTACAGGATAAACCTTGCACCTATTTTAGTGTCCAACGTTCTGAAATACCGATCGTGTAAAAAATCAAAGTTTTTGTTATGCCTTCTACGATACAAAGCGGTGAGTTTAAGAATTACATACAATCCAACTATCAAAGATGGTAAAATCGACAGATGTAAAAAATCCTGTTTTATTAAATTTGCATATAAAAATACATACATATATTGAATTTCGTGGGTAGAATTGTTCACGATCTTCTGACAGCAGTAGAATATGCGCATATGATGAATCATTTACTAATAAACAATTATGTTACTTTCTTATTTGAAATTATACATAGTTACGTTTAATTCCAATTCCAACCACTACTAGTATTGTAATCTTATTCTATGCTGACCCGGTAACGTTGGTAGTGACACAGGAATGGCAAGGGTCTTTTCGATTCCAAAGCCCCGGACAAAAAGTCCCATAAGATGCAAGGTCTATCCTGTATCTCGTCTGTGCTTGCACATATAAAATCCTTTTTTTCATAAATTAATTAATTGTAAGTATGTAGTAGGGCCACAGTTTTCAACGAAGAAAATTGCTGGAAGATTAGAAAAAAAAAGGGACGCAATTTTAGTGACAAGAAAATTAACTCGTTACTTATGAATACGCAGTAATCCAAAGGGAAATCAATTTTCCGGTAACAGGCACTGAGACGAGACTCAATAACATGTTTTTAATGCGACCATTAACGTTCTTAACAGCGATCACGTCGTTCGAGAACCGGAAGAACCTCTTTACCCCGATGTTCTAGCAAAAATAAGCAATTATAATATCTTGTTTTTAAATAATGAATATTTTAAATATTTTAAATTTAAAACTTTTGAAAAGTTGCAGTAGAGCCTTTTAAGGGTTTGGAATTTTAAAACAAGCGTGAAAAAAGAAGAGTAAGTGGCGGGAAGAATCAGTGGAAGAATAGCGTTCAGTGTTTGTCAGGGGCAAGTATTGCGTTACACAGAACGGAGTTTGAATATCGAGCAAAGAAGGCTCGCCGATCCGAATACGATCTCAGAAGTGAGCTCAAAGTCGGAAAATCGTATTACCGGCACTACGTGACTGGAATGTTTCATAGTTTTCACTCTGTCCGAACTAAATATAAAACGGACACCGCGGGAGATTAAATTGACGTCCGTGTTGAAAGGAAGCGAACGAATAAGACATGCTTCCATTGGTGTTTATCTCCAGGAAATGCAGGAATACCAGCTGGAAATCATTCAGGATTTGTCAAGCAAAAAAATTAAAAATAAAGAAAATTGTTTGTCAAAGAGATAAAAAGAACTATTAATTTTATTTCTTTTCATTTCGTAAAAATTGAAAATATCAGAACTTGAGGTAGTACTTGACTATATATGTACATATGTATATGTTGTTGATAATGGTATTAATAACAGTGAGTCAGCAAATCATTACTAGGTACACTTCAATTTTTTATCATATAAATAAAAATAACTCATTCAATCTGTATCATTACACATTTATGTTGAATCATATTCTTATATCAGCATTTGTAGAGATATAAAAGATATTTTTATATCTTCTTAGGAAAAAATTTCAAAAATATATCTTGATAGCTTATAACATTCTAACGGATGCTTTTGTATAGCATAACTTTTCATACTCTTCGTTTTGTTCAGTGAAGGAAGAAGAAATTGGTACGCGTGACAGAACTTCAGGAATGGAATTGAATTTGTAACCTTTACAGCCGTCCATTCGATCATCTTAAACATTCTGTTCTCACGTTTACTCCCTTTCTACAACTTAAACACGTTTAGAAATCATTCAAACAATTCTCTGACTTAATAAAAAATTCAATTAACGAGATGCAGGTTAGAACCACCTAACCTAACATAGTTATAAATCTTCTATGACATGTAATACATTGGAAGTGTAATAATAAAAGAAAGTGTGTATTCGGTAAATAAAGGAATGGGATGATACAGCTTGTAAATAATTCGGGCACGTATCAATAATTAATCGACGGAATGGAATTGCTTCGAATTACTCCAGTGACCTTGTACACAACATCCCCCACGGTGACATATTATTTTTCTACTTTCCTCTCGTCTAAATTGAACTCACACAGATGTCTCTGCTAATCAGATTAGTTAATTGCAACATTCAAATAGACAAAAAAATTATTCGCAATAAATGTTCCATCATTGTTGGATGAGATGTAGAAGAAATTTATCTAACAGGAAAAACGTAATTCTATTCTCTCTGGTCTCATAGATTTTATAAATTTCAGTTTGCTCAACCATTAAAGCTTCCAAATATTACTATATTACCTTATAATTATATTAAAAGTCGTATGCTACAGAATTCTTCTTTTTCGACCACTGAAAACCATTAACTCAATTCACAGGCTACATCTGTTGGAAAAAGAAAACATATACTAACACCATTATGGAAAATTGGTCCCTATATGCCAATTAAAACATTTACACGATTTACTGTTCCCTTAAATACTCGAAAAAAGAGATCCATAGTACAGAAGGAAGTAAAAACGTAATATGAGTAAACGTTGTCCAGGCGTTCAGTAGAAAAAGAGTATGTGAGACGCGCCACGGTCTAACCTAAGCTAGTGCTTACTACTTACCATCACAGTCTCCTCTTCAACGCTGTTAAAAGGAAGCACTGTGTGTTTTACGGGTGACTATTATTTCTTATTTCTGAAATGAAGCAACTGGCTACATATGTACAACGTCTCATAATGTGAAAAAAAAAGAGCGTGGATATTCTATTAATCATAATTCTATACAAAAACGTAGAATCACTCTCGACTTATTTTTACACTCTCTTACATCTATCAAAATGCTGTACACAGATGTCCCCAACATTAACTACCACTATTACTGCAAATGGGTCTATAATCGTAGAAATAAATAAATAAATAAATAAATAAATAAATAAATAAAAGTACTTAATGAAATTAGTAGAGAAATGAGTACAACAAATTGACACGAGAAGAATAGATGTTCAATCACTACAATGGCTTGGAGAAGAATTAATTCGATCAAGAACCGTGCAGAATTCCCTTCCACGATTATTTGCCACTTCCTAACCTAACCTTTAAACTTCGACCAAGGTGTGCAAACAACAATTGTTTATCTTCTAAATACTTCACACTGGAATATGATTGAATTCACGACGAAGGGAAGGTTCCTTGAAATTACTAGCACACGAAGTTCGTCGAGGACCTATGCAAATCCCGATGAACTAAGACACCTGACGAACAGCCACTCGATAACTCTAGAAGATCGATCAGGAAGCCAGGGAGAGATCGGTCGTGGGACATGAGGAGGAAATGGACTTCAGCTCTTAATCGAGTTTGTTTCTGAAATATAGCTGGTCTACATCAAGGTCTTCTATTGTGCAACCAGTGGTTAGAGTTGACTGGAACAGAACTAGTAGGAAAAAATTGAAGATTAACCCTTTGAAACATGAGCAATTTTTTTTTACTTTCTCTTAAGAATATATATTTCAAAAATTAGAGAATGTATATCTGTACCATTCTACCGAGTTTAGATACTTGATAATTGTTATATATAGGTTAATTTAAAATTTTAAATGTTAAAAGTATAAAAGAGCACCAGTGTTCATTCAGGCACTTAAATATTTTTTGAGGTTGGAAATGTTGTAAAGAAACTCCAACAATAAGGGATAGTACAAAGAAATTCTCTATAATAGAAGTACAATTTCTTTACAGACAGAAAATCCACATTCCGGAAGATCACCGCTTATGGCGTTAACTCTCCATCCGGCGGCCACCATGGAACCTTGTACTTTAATCTATCAATCTCCTTGCAATTATTTATCGTTAAATTCTACTTTTTCCCATAACCTTGTAACAAGTGAATTTCTTTTTTATTGCAAAAGAAAAAAAGACGGTAGCCAAAGTCCTCTTTTTCTTATCAACCAGCACTTGTTCATTTTTAATATGAATTTCGTTGCGGAAAAACTTTGTAACTAGTTAATCCAAGATCTAATTAATCCCTCCGCTACAGTTTAATGGTTGAGCGTTCACAAAGAAGCCGCACTTTATAAAAGATCGTCCCAATGTAATGTTTAACGAGGCATTAAGCCGGAACCGTCTGACTTAGAAGTTTTAATCGTTGTAATGTAAAAGTTCCGTGCTGAAACACGCCTCTGGCGAAATTGAATTTCGAATTTCCAATCCGGGTGAATCCCATTATAAAACAGTACAAGCTGATACGGAAGTTATAGTTTGCACGCACTCGTGACAGAGGAAGTGACGTGATTTATATTCGATGTCTCGTGGAATTCCTCGACAATCGTGAAATATTCGTTCGTGTGAGAACGTTGAACGGGATGTGTTCGAAAAGAGGGCAGCAAGCAATTATATTGGATCACATTCCAGCTGACAACACGAGGAAAAAGAACACCGGAGTTGAATCTTCAGGAGGAATCTGCATAATGGAAGAATCATGGATCTCGTAAATCTGCAGTTTGTCTGGAATGTCTCTACAATATTTTCTCTTTGAAACAAGCGAATCAAATATTCACTGTGAAATATTAAACAGAAAGAAAGTAAAAGTTTTATTTGTATATTTTAATATTTAGCCTTTTAATATCTCTTTATTTATATTTAGAAAGTTTTTGACCAGTAGGAAAATGTTATTCTCAGTAAGTGCATTATGAAACTATTTTTTAAATAGGTAAAATTGTTCTATTTTAATTAAACGTGAATTTGAAAATTATAACGTTCTATTGTCTCACCTAGTGTATTTTAATATTTAATCTTTCCTTATGTTGGA